CTTAGACCTATTTATTCTCAAAAGTTTGGAACAGGAATCCGTGTTTTTCACAAGCTTCTCAGGAGATGTTCGTGCACTCAGACTTCTCTTGGAATCACTGCCCGATGGCCTTCGGTGGACTGGGAGAAGCTGTCCTTGCTTTCCCAGCTCCAGAGGGGACCTGGGGATCCCTGAGCTCCGGACACTTGCTGCCTCTGTGCAGGGCCCTGGGCGGTGGAGGGACTTGCTGGCTGGTGTTACAACTTCCTTCTGAAAAAGTCATTTGCCTCATCGTCCTGTCCTTCCGGGGTCGCTTCCAGCTCAGGAGGTAGCTGATTCAGACTAACGAGTGGGCTCACAGAGAATTTCTTCACTTCCTCTCTTGATTCCTGCCTCACTGACCCTGCGGGTCACTCTGGCCCACAGTGTGAGGCGCTGCCCCTTTCACTTCCTGACTTTCCGGTGACCCCGGCCTTGGTGCTGGGTGTACTGTGGCCTTCCTGCCCTTCGTGGGGGGAGAAGGGTTTATGACGTCTTCCTGGCTGCCTGACGCACATCAGGTTGGCCCATCCCTTCTGGAAATGGATAAGGACTTCAAGGATATCTCTGCGGTGCAGGAGAATGAGCACTAGAGGGGGAGCCTAGGCCCGGAGTTCTGAAAGCAGCCCTGACAGGGGCAGGCTGCGGGCCCCCGGCTGTGCGTTTCTCTCCGGGTCTCAGCTTCCTCATCACGATATGGGCTCAGGTCTCCTCCGGCTCAAACAGTCTAACTATTGCATGTTGTCTCCTTGGCCACACTTTTCTAAGAGCCGTTCCAGGGCAGGGCCATGAAGACCTGGACTTTGGATCCCTCTGATTTCCCATCCCTGTGGACTGGCATGGCGTAGTTGCCCCAAATCAATGATGATGTATGAGGACTTTGGGAACGGCACTTTACTGTTTGGTTCACAGACATTAGCACCCTCAATCTGCAGGGTGAATCTGCAAAATAGGCATTACTGTTATAACAGGATGTTAAAATGGGATGTTTTCTACCTCAGTTTTCAAAGACTGAGAACAAATAGCAGGTGGCATCCGGTGCTAGACCATACGTGTGGGCTTACAAGGAGGGGGGCCCAGATTGGTTGCACCAGCATTAGTCCATTACCCACTCCAACCAGTTAAAGAATGTGAACAACCCATTTTCAGGGCTAATGGTGGTGGATTTGGGGTTTTGATATTGGACTGGAGTGGACTTTTTATTATCAGGAAAATAAGGACCTATGCCTGAGGTTTGGTCCAAGGGCAGGATAAAATACACCACTGAACAGGTATAAGGATGTATTAGTTTTCCATGGCTGCTGTAACAAATTACAGATGGGCTGAAAACAACACAAATGTATTATCTTATAGTTCTGCAGATCAGAAATCCGACTTGAAGCTCAGTGGGCTAAAATTAAGGTGTCAGCTTCGTGCATTCCTTTCTGGACACTCTAGGAGAGAGTCTATCCCTTGCCTTTTCCAGCTTCTAGGGGCTACTCACTTTCCTGGGCTCAGGGTCCCCTTCCTCCATCTTCAAAACCAGCAACATTGGGCAAGTCCTTCTCACACTGCCCTCTCTCTGGGCCTCTCTTCTGCCTCCCTCCTCTACTTTTAAGACCCCTGTGATTACATTAGACCCACCTGGGTAATTCCAGATAACTTCTCTATCTGAAGGTCAGCTGACTAGCAACCTTAACTTCATCTTTGAAATGCCCCCTTGCTGTGTAGCCTTAATTATTCACAGTTCTGGGAATTAGGACATATACATCTTTGGGGGACCACTACTCTGCCTACCACAAGTGGGGAATGATAGGAAGAAACAGGAATGCTTCCAACTTACACCTTGCTAAGTGATGCTTACCCAGTAAACTTAACTGGATCCATTCTACAGGTGAGAAAACTAAAGATCAGAGAGGTTAACAGTGGGGTCCATTCTTGACTGTGTATTGGAGTTTCCTCATGCCTGGTCCTCCCTACCCGCTCTGGAATTCTGATCTAATCGGTCTGGGGTGTGACCTGGGCATCTGGATTCTGTATAAAGGTGCTCAGATGATTCTAATCCACAATCAAGGCTGGGAACCACTGGGCTAAAGGAATTACTCCAAGTCACTCAGCTGCTGTGAACAGCCGGCAGGACATGGTACCGCACCAGGCCTATCTTAGTTCAAAGCTCCCACTCAGCTGTTGGTGGAGGAGAAAACTTCTATGCTTTTTCTAGAGAAAATTTGCACTTTAACTGGAGACCGACTGTGGTTAAAACCAAGGGAACAAAGCTTCAGGGTAGAATTTCAAGCCCCCATTTCCTGATGGCAACAAAAGAACAGAATTTCATTTTGGGGAGAGAAATGAGACAACGCTCATCAGACAGAACCTGGCATGGGGGTGAGGCCTTGCTAAACGGTGACGCTGTTATTAGCATCATTAGGGTCAGGCCATGGAGGGAGCTAAGCCAGCAGGGCCTCCCGGATACTTGAAGCTTCACCCCAAACCCCACAGTGGCCCCTGCCTCTCCCTCCCCTGGAGAGTCTGAGCTCAAGCCTCTCCTGTCTCCTGTCCTGGGTGGGCCAGCCCTGTGTCACTCCTGCTCCCACCTCTCCTTGACGCTGTGTCAGGCCCCCAGGTCTTAGATCCTACAGTGAGTTGAATTGTGTTCCCCAAAAAGACATGTCCAAGTCACACTCCGTTACCTACGGATATGAACTTATTTGGAAATATGGTCTTTGCAGATGTAATTAAGTTAAGGAACTCAAGATAAGATCATTTCAGATCTAGGATGACCCTACATCCAATGACTGGTGATCTTGTAAAAGAAAGGAGAGGGAGATTTGACAAACAGAGAAGAAGGCCATGGGAAGACAGAGGCGGAGATGAGAGGCAGCCACAAGCCAAGGAACACCACAGGTCACCAGAAGCCACCAGAAGCTCGAGGAGAGACGTGGAACGGACTCTCCCTCAGTGCCTTCAAGGGAGTGTGGCTCTGCTGGTACCTTCATCTTGGACTTCTGGCCTCCAGAACTATGAGAGAATTCATTGCTGTTGTATTAAGCCCTCTAATTTGTGGTAATTTGTTGTGGCAGCCACAGGACACTGACAGAGGCCCCATCCACCCCACATCTGGATACCCCAAGAAAGCCAAACATGGCTGGGAAGCCATAGTACTGCCTTCTGGCGCTGTGTCCCCTGCCCCCTGCCGGAGACCCAGGTCCAGGGGCCTGAGCCTGGATTAAGGGTACGAGGAAGGACCAGGACCATGACGTCTGACACTAGGACACTTGTGATCACCTCCAAACACAGCACATGATTTTACAGACCACTCTGGACTACAGGAGTAAAGATGTCCTTCAGGCCAGCTCCAACTCCAGGCCAAGCAAGGAGGGCCTCAAGGATGGGTGGGTGGGACCAACTCTCACAGTCTTGGGAACAAAGATTAATTATGTGGCAGAGGCGACAGCTATCTACCCAATAACTGTCTCCCTGTCCATGTCTGCTAACTGCACCCCAGCTTTGTTGGGACATCAGTATCTCCTACCCTAGGGAATAAGTCATGCAGGTCTGATCAGATCATGGTAAGCCCACTGCCTATTGTCAGTAATTAGTCTAAAACTGGGGACATAACTCCATCCTGGCCAATGAGATGTAAAGGGAATTCTGCTGGAAATTTCTAGGAAAGATTTTCCTCCAAGAAAAGAAAGAGGCACTTGAAGGGAAGGCCCTTTGTACAATGCCCTGCTTGCTTCCAGCACAGGATGCTGTCAGGAGGGGATGTGATGTCTGGAGCTGTGGCAGCCATACTGTGTCAGTGAAATGAGACATCAGCCATGTGCTGAAGATAGCAAAGAGGAGGGCTGTAAAGAGTGTGGGCCCTTGATGACATCACTGAGCCTTTGATCAATCCTAGGCCCACCTACCTCTGGAAGGATCCCTCAGTTAAGGCACTTTAGTTAGGTGTTCAGTACTTACACTGAACCATCCAAACTGACAGAGCTTGTGATGCAGGTTAGAGGCTACCTGGGGTTTCAGTGCCTATCAGTAGGTTTTGCAGGACACACAACGTGGCTGTGGAGCTAGCTGAAGTCTAGGAAGTGTAAGGAAAGAGAGAAATCAGAAGACCTGAGTTGAACTCTGACCCTCCACCTCCTCCCTGTGAGTTTAGGCACACCATAAGCCTTTCTGAGCCTCACCTTCCACATCCTCAAAATGGGTGTGATAGTCCCAACATCACTCATCACTGAGTTTGGTCTGTGCTCAAACGAACTGATGTGTGTCAACACATTTTATGACATGCCACGTAAATGACAAAGACTGTTAACCAGCTCTGTCTGCTGTTACTTTGGGAAAATCGTGTGTGTGTGTGTGTGTATGTGTGTGTGTGTGTGTATGTGTGTGTGTGTGTGTAATTGAGAGAGAGACAGACAGAGCTTTAAACAGATTTGCCTATATAAGTATGTCCTTCAGGAGGGTGAGTGATATTTTTAGTTGCTTATCTGGGAACCCAAATCACCCAAAAGCTGGGGTAATAATTCTGTCTCCTTGTACCTGCCCCCTCCCACATTCAAACGAGTCCTGTCAATTCTACTTACTGAAGGGTTCTCAGATCTGTGCCTTCCCCACATCTCTAGCCTCACTGTCTTGATTCAGACCTCATTGTCTCCTGCCTAGAATATTGCACCAGCCCAGTCGGTCTCCTACCTCCATTCTGGAATCTTCACATGGGAATCCTTTCTAACATGCAGGTGGGACTGTGTCACTCTGGGGCCTGCCCTCCATTTCTTGGGTCACTGTAAATGTCTGTTTACCTGCCCTTTTCTCCTTCTAGAGGGCAGGGTCCTTGATTCCCCAGCACCCAGCACCCAGCACAGGGCCTGGTGTTCAAAGGATGCTCCATGAATATTTGTTGGAAGGAAACAGCAGCCTGGGGTTCAAACTTCAGGAAGATTATTAAGACATAGTTTGGTGTCTCCTAGGGTTGTTTTGAATTAACAAATCTGAGTCACCAATGCTTCATTGCATGTAGACGCTTTATTGAACGTTAGTGGCTATTTTAGAGAATAAGATGTCCAGGGCAGCAGTTGGGGTGGGGTTGACAGGTTGGGGGGCGGGTCTCAGGAGCAGGTCACTTGCTGTAGCTCTTGGAGGCTGGCTCCGCGAGACCCAGGAGGTCTTCCCCCAGCCCAGAGTCAGCCAGCTGGCCCTCTTCTTCACTCCCTGCTGACAGCTCGTCCTTGGCTTCATCTGAAACAGGAGGGGCAAGGCTGGTCCAATCAGATCAGGACTTCTCCTCCCTCATCTCTTTCTCTTTGGCCCTAAGAGACCTCAGCCTCTGGTGGGCATTCCCTACTAATGTCCTACAGAGGGGCATTTCCAGTGGTTGGATACCAGATCCATCACCCACTGTAGGGACATGCTAACGGTACAAGGGGACTTGAGTTCATCATCAGAGAGCCAATTGGCCTTGGAATCTAGAAGCAGAGTTGAGAATCTAAAACATATGTTGGACAAGGTCACTTTCCTGCTAGATGCTCCACTCTTATCTCTCTCTGCATGAAGAACTCCTGTCAGTCTGCAAACCTCAGCCCCTGCATCACCTCCCCAAGGAAGACTTCCCAGACCCTCCAGGGAGAAGTGAACCCTCCCCCCTTTGGGCTCCCACTTGCTTGGGTTCACACTTCCACTGGCTTGGGTGCGGACTTCCATCATGGCACCAGGAAAGCTGAAGAACATTCACTGGGTTATGTCATTCACTCTCCCACTCTCCTGGAAGCTTCTGAAGTGCATTGCATTCATCTCTATATTCCCAGTGCCCTCATTATGATTCGTCTTCTCTCCTTAACACCTCTTCAACAGGAAGTTCTCTTTAACAGGAAGAGGTAGAAGGCCCACTTCCCCATCTGGCTAGAATGCCCTCTCTAATTCTACCTAGCCCTCCAAGGGCTATGAGGACGAGGTTCAAGATCCTACTTTCTCTCCCCACACCATTTCAGGCTGGCTCCCCACTCAACCCTCCTATAGCCCTTCTTGCCCCTGGTTCCCCCAGGGTCCCTTCCTTGTGCCTTTCTCTCTCTCACTCCTCCATCTTGCCCCTCATCAGAACAGGAGGACCTTGGCAAAGAGGACTGTGAGCTCCTCATGGGAGAGGGCTGTGCCAATGACATCCCAGTGACCCAGTGGCTGTAGTGTGCTCAGCACAGCCGGTGCAGTAATGTTGAGGATGAAAAAGCCCCCCCACCCCTCGCCTGGCCCCTGCCTGCTCCGGGCTTCCCTACCTGCCGACATCTTCAGAGACCGAATGTACTTGGACCAGAAGGAACAGTCAGTCTTTTTCAGGCCCTGCTGGTTGGGGAGCAGGGCACTGAACTCCTTGTAGTTCTCTCCACCAGCACGGGGGACAAAGTCAGGCCAGGGGGCTGCAAATTCGGGTGCTTTCCTCGAGAACTCATGAGAGTAGTTGGGATTTCTGGGAATATGAGAAGAAAGAAACATCCATGAGGGAAGCTTGTCTTTCCTTTCATCACCTGAGGTCACTTCCCACTTCGCTTGGTCTTTGAGAACCGAATCACACGTCTTTAGGTGTCAAGAAGGATTTGAACCTGCCCGATCTGACTCTGGGCTGTGTTCTTAACCTGGGCATTACAAATCACTAAAGGTGCAAAGGCCCCTGACTCATCACTCTTAGGCCACTCCTGGAAAAGGAAAGACGTGAGTTCATGACCCAGTGGCATTACTCAAGACCTAGTGTTGCCCTCTGTCTTTCTGAATGCTCAGGAGGTCACCATGTCCCTTTCTACCCTGGTGTCCTTTTATCTGGACACCACAGTCAGTCTCTGGAATGCCTTTGTTTGTCCAAGGCCTGAGCAGGTGGGTGGCCTAGAGCTAGGCAAACTTGTTTGCCACCTACAGGTCAATTTCCCTTTGAAGGGGCCATCTCATCCTCCAGACATAGGCTCCTTCCCAAACTTGCCTCCCAGGCCCATCTCCCAGCATGTCCCACCATGTAGCCCCCACTCCAGCCCCACCCGACCTCCCAACATTCACTCGACAGGGTGTGTTTCTCATCCTCTTGCCTCCGCTTACACGCTCCTCTCCCAGAGTGCCCTCACCTGCTTGGCCTACGTGAACATCCCATTCATTATTTAAGGCCCAGCTTCAGTGTCACCTCCTCAGCGTGACATTTTCTAAATCCCGAATTAAAAAAAAAAATGTCTTTCTCCTCAACTCCTACAACAAATTGTATGAAGTTCTATTATATCCTGCTTTTAATTATGGCTAGGTTTTATATTTCAGACTGTCGATAGCTTATAGTTGAACCGTGACCTTCTGACATTTTACCTTTCCAGGGGGGTGACTAAGCATGTCTGGCAAAGTGATAAAGGGAGCCAGGTAAACTACAGGGTGGAAGGAACAGCAGGAACCAGTTTTGGAAGTGGGAACAGTGTGTATGCTGACTGGGCTGGAAGAGAGGTGCAGCGGAGACTAGAAACAGATGATGAAGAGTGTGAGCGTTTTCATTTAACCTGATCATCTAAGACAGTGGTTCTCAACTTGGAGTGATTTTGCCTTCCAGGGGACATTTGGCAATGTCTGAGATATTTTCAGTTCTCACAGCTGGGATGGGGGCGAGGTGCTACCAGCATCTAGTGGGTAGAGGTCAGACATGCTGCTAAACACCCTGTAACGCCCAGGACAGCCTCTGCCACAAAGACTCATCCAGCCCCAGTGTCAACAGTGCTGAGGTTGAGAAACCCTGGTGTGGAGCATCAAATGTGGTTGAACAAGGAGGGCTATGATTGGAACTCTTCTTCACTAAGATGAATCTACACAAATGTAGTTTCGCTAGAAGAGGAACACTGAGACAGTGAGACCAGTGGCATGTGACTGCAACATCTAAGGAGGAAAGGGTGAGTCCATCGATGGAAAACGTAGCCTTTGCGTTCAGACTGAGGGAGGGGAAGCACAGCAACAGCACTCAGGCACACGTGCGTGGTCCACTCACCCAGACCGGATAAAGTTGGAAAAGTACTGCATGATCTTCAGTGACAAGCTTTTCTCTTCCAGGGTAAACTGTCCCTCGTAGGCAGGGTGGAAGGGAAGCCCAAAGGCATACTGAACGTCTGCCAGCAATTCCAGGCTGAGAAAACACATGGAAAGAAGAAAAAGCAAGAGTTAAAGGAACAATAAACTGCTGGAAAAACCAAATGAGCCAAAAACCAATATCCCTTCCCAAACGAAGACTCTCCCCTCTTCATATCATGTTTAGGATTCTTGTTTAGGGCTTCATTTAGTTGCCACAGATCCAAGGCACTTCTGCTGGTCAAAGCGAACCCAATGCTGAGCACTTAACTCTCTTGAAACACCTTAAGCAAGTTTCCAACAGAATGTTTTTTTGACCATATTCCAACCATGGTATCAATATCAATCAAACATTTGTTTGTTCAAAATAGCCTGTATTTTGAGCCCCTTCTCTGTGCTAGCTCTTGTTCATATATGACTCGCACTCTCGCAACTCTTCAAAGTTGATGTTTATTCACGTAGCCAACTCTAGTACAGTGCCTGGCACATAGTTGCTGGTAAATAAATACATGCTATGACTGAATTAAATATCTGAGCAGCAGGCAGGAGGAGATAAAGATTTGGAAGCCAGATGAGTGGTTTGAATGGACTGAGCTGGAGCTGGTACTGGGGAGACCAGCCCAGCGGTACATGGGTCGTGGGAGAGGACACTGGGACAGTGTTAGAGAGGAAAAGCTGGAAGGGACTTTACAGCTGTATAGTAAAGAATTTGGCTTTTCCCAAAAAGAAGTCTGGCCTTTGCTCTCGGTGGCTGGTGCTAATCTATGTCATTCCTGATAGGAATGTCTCTGTTTAAGGCACAGGCTGGCCACACTGGATCTTCTGGTAGATGTGGCCACACCTGACAGTCTTAGCATGGAGGCTGGCCATGCCAGAAAGGCCAACCATGTGACTTGGGGAGGGGGCTTTGGGTCACACGGTATCAGTAGACCTGGAGACTGAGATTAACCACAGGGACAATCAACCAACCAACCAATCAATCATGCACATGTAACAGAGCTCCAATAAAACCTCTGAACACCAAGCTTGGGGGAGCCTCCCTGGTTGGCACTACGCTGGGTACAGTCATGCACTGCATAATATTTCAGTCAACGACGGACCGCATCTGTGACAGTGGTCCCATAAGATTAGTGCCATATAGCCTAGGTGTGTAGTAGGCTATACCATCTGGGTTTGTGTAAGCACACTCTGTGATGTTCGCACAATGATGAAATTGCCTAAGGGTGCATTTCTCAGAATGCATCCCTGTCGTTAAGCAGTGCATGACACTGTTGTTGCACGTGAACACCAAGAGAGCGGCCCCTCCTGACCCTATGAGGAGAGGACGACAGAGCTTCACGTTGGGAAGCCTCCTGGGCTCTGCGCTGTGCTGCCCTTCCTTTGGCAGATTTTAATCAGGTCCTTTCCCTGTAACAACCATAACCGTGAGCACAGCAGCTTTCAGTGAGGTCTGTGAGTCTTTCTAGGTAATGATCAAACCTGAGGGTGGTTTTGGGATCCCCCTGAATATGCACTTGGTGTCAGAAGTGAGGGTGGTCTTGTGTGGAGACTGTGCTCTCTGACCTTGTCATTGACCGTGACTTATCGTGAGAGCCAATTTTATGGGAAAACAAAGTCCAGAGAGGTTTTCTGACTTACTGAGAGATACACAGCAAGTTGAACAGCAGAGGCGGATCAGGAACGTCTCTAGGAAGCATGACGCTAACAAAAGGCACGGGGGCCCAGGGGCTGCCATACCTGGGTCTTGGCTCCTCCACTGTCAAACTGAGTGACCTCTAGCAAGTTACTTGACCTCCCTGATTCCCTGCCTTGTCATCTATGGAATGAGTATATAAATACCTACTTCACAGGGTTGTTGTGAAGATCTAAATAAGAGGGGCACATAGTAGGTACCTAACAGGTAGGTGCAGTGTGGCCCAGTCTTTTCTCATCCGTCATTCCACCTCCTGACATAATTGACCGTCCTTAAGCAGCATCTATGCCCGGGGGTCACCAGCAATTCTCATCGGTGCTGGTATAAGGGGAAGATGCACCCGATGGACAGACATCCTGGGAAAGGGCTCAGATACATGGCTCCTGGATAAAGGACATCTGTACAGAGGCTAAGTTAGTACAAAGCAATGTGCACTGCCTTGTGACCAGAGACCGTGGCTCTGGCTCTGACTCAGAATGATTCACTGTGGTTACCCCAGAGACTGGGTAAGGGGATCCTGGAACTCAAGGCCGTGAAAGCGAACACTTCAAGCCAAGAAGTCACCATCCTGTTGTCCTTCCTCCACTCAGGCTGGGAAGTGTGGTGACAGAACAGGAATGGGACTGGGGCCAGATGCCTAGGCACCTAGCTTAGCCTAGGGACTTCTGAGGGGCTCAAGAGCCAGGCTTCCCACTATGACCATAAGAATTATCCCCAGGTGTACATGTGACTGGCAGCAGGGCACAGAAGGGTGGACATGCGGCTGAGTCACTCAGCGGGGACTCAGACCCGTCACTATTACACGACTCTGGGTGAGTCATTTGACTTCTCTCTGGTTTGGTTTCCTCATCATGAAATATCAGACCAACCAGCCATGGCACGTGGAAGCTATTTAAAACAAGTGTTTTCACAATGGCTGAGTATCATTATGATTATGGTTATTATGTGTCAATATTGGGCCCCACACTGGAAGGCTTCACAGAAGGGAGAGGAGACCGTGTGAGGCGACAGGACTAACAGCATTCAGTTAGGAAGAATAACAGAGTGTGGTGTCTCTTTGCAACTATTGCCAGGTACCCTGGACCCTCTCAGAGTGGGTTTAAGTTTTCCTTCACTCCTGAGAGGAGAGCCAGAAGTGGCAGAGTCATCAACATTTACAGGATCCTGGGACCTGAAGCGCTCAGTTCCTTGTCCAATGCCAGAAGCATCTGTGGTCGAGCTCAGATGAGAGCCCAGATTCTGTGGTTGCCCAGTTGGCCTGTCCGCAGCCAGCAATGCTCAGCGCCTGTTTACAGTTACCATCTCCTGAGCACCACCATGTGCCAGGAACCGTGGGAGGGCTTTGATCAGCAACATCCAGGACAGCCAGGAAGTGGCCGTCGTCATCCGCATATTTTCCAGGCGATGACCCAAGGCTCAGAAAGACGAAGCCACGAGCCCCAGACACAGAGAGCCAGGATTCGAAGCTGAGTCTCCCAGGCCCCAAATTCCGTTCTGTGCCTACTCTCCCTGTGGGCAGGGTGCTGAGGACCACTAGAAAGTATTAATGAATCGACCTCTTAAGGATGTTTTAAGATCCACAAAGGAAAAAGGAACATAAAGCAAAAAACCCCAGGAAGATAGAAGTTGTGACAAGGGCAATAAAAATCACCTCTCACAGATACCCACGCTTGGTAGTTTACGAATCACTTTCACCCCTATTGTCTCAAGGACCCCGTGAGTAGATGTGATGGGAGTAATTCGTAGAGTTTTTACGCTGGAGGAAACCTAGGCTCAAAGACGCCATTTTCTTAAGTGGCGATGCTAGGACTGAGGCCTAGGTCTGCGATTCCTAGGCCGCTGCCTCCTTGCCTCATTGCCTGGGCTCCGTCCACCAACGCCATCACTGGTCTTGTTGCGGTCTGCACACCCTCAATGGCTACTCCTCTTCTGTGCCTGCTGCAGAGGAACCAGGGAAGCCTGGCATTCAGAGGGGCCCTCTCCCCTCTGCTGCCCCATCAGGGCCTGCTCCCTCCCCCACAGTGTGGTGGAAGGGGAAATGGCCTGTTTCTCAGGTGGCCCTTCAGAGAAAGTGGCTGTGTTTGTTTTCTATTGCTGCCTTAAGAAATTACCACAAACTGAGTGGCTTAAAACAACACAAATGTACTATCTCACAGTTTCTGGAATTCAAAGGTCCAGCACAGGTCTCAGTGGTGTCAGCAAGCTTCATTCCTTCTAGAGGCTCTGCAGGAGAATCTGTTTCTTGTTCACTGGGGGGCTGTGACAGAGTTGACTTCCTTGAGGAGGAGGACCCAGGTTCCTGTTTTCTCACTGGCTGTAAACTGAAGGCCATTCCCAGCTCATAGAAGCCACAGTCATGGTCCCCTAACCTCAAAGCCACCAACAGTGAGTCTGACACGCTCCTCTGCCTCTCTCTTCCACACTGAAGGACTTAAACGTCATTCTGTTGGGCCCACCTGGAGAGTCCTGGATAATCTCCCACCCTCAAGGTCCTTAACCTTGATCACGTCTGCCAAATCCCTCTGCCATGTAAGGAAACACACTCACAGGTTTGGGGGATTACGACATGGATATTTTGAGGGGCCACTACTCTGTCCACCACAGTGACCTTGTCTATTGTTTCTTCCAAGGAAAGCTACAATCCAAATGGTACAATGAACGGAGTTCAAATCCCAGCTCAATCACGCAATATCTGTGAAGTCTTGAACAAGATACATAACCTTTCTGGGCCTGAGCATCCTCATCTGTAAAATTGTGACATGATCATGCTTCCAAATATTGAATGAGGTTTAGAAACAAAATATTTCAAATCTTTTGCCCAGTTTTTGGCTCATATGTCAGTTCCTTTTTCCTTTATCCCTGTGAGAAACATGTGAAGGCCTAAGAAAGGGGGTCTTTAACCTTGAGGTTCCATTATAGGGTTTCAGAGGACCATGATTTCCCTGAAATTATACGTGAAATGGTGTGACATTGTACACACACATCTTTCTTGGGAAAGCCTTCCTAGCTCTCATCACATTCTCTATGATCTGTGCCAATGACGTGCCGATAAATGTTCAACAACTGGCTTTTGCCAATTTCCGTGGTATAGGTCATCCCACCACAGACAATTTCAAACTACTAAAGTGACATCATGGAATACAGAGCTGGGAAAAGACGTGCACAACTGGCCCTTGTGAACTGGTGCAAGCTGGCTCCAGGCCACCACTGTCTGTGACCCCAGGAGGCTGCAGAGCACTGCTTTTGGGGAAAGGCCTGGCCTTCCAGCCCATCTGATGTTTCATTTGAGAGCCTGTTGTGTATGAGGACTTCTACTTTGTTTTTTCCTTAGCAGGGCTGATCTTTATCAGGAGGCTGGAGTTATT